TTTCCATTTAACATACGAACCTCTAGTCCTGGGCTAGGGTCGGACACCAATACACTCGGTCGGACACCAATACACTCGGGTCGGACAAACAATAAACCTCAGTTTCACTTTGGTCGGACAGAATGTCCGGTGGTTTCCTTTGTACGTAGGACAATTTCACGAATGGGTCGGACAATGTCCGTGACCGCGACCGATATTTTAAGGCCTGTTATTACGCTATATTTTTCAGGGTTTTCAAAGTTGTTTTTAAGAAAGTTAAGGCGGCTGAAAGAATAATTTTACAAGTGCAGTATGGGATAAGTTTTGACAATATTTCAAGTGTGGTCATCTTTTTGTCCAGTATGTGTTTTCATCAATTGATATAGTCAGCTTAAAGCTAAATTGTGTACTGCAATATAAGAAGGAATTCTTGTTTCGAAAAGAAAAGCGTCATTAAAAACGTTAAACGTCAGGAATGTGATGAATGTGGGTTACGAAAAAGAAATTTCTAACAGAAATCATTCCTTCATCCTACAGTATTTGTAGCTTGTTTTTGGTTTTTAGATGGTAGTTGTACCAAAAATTACTTTTATATGTATGTTCTAGCCATTCTTTTACCGATGCTTAAGCCCCGTTTACACTACACTCAATTTTTGGTACGGCACGGATAAAATTGGTACCCGTACCACTTTTTTGGTTCTTGGACTACCTATTTAGGTAGTCCAAGAACCAAAAAGTGGTACGGTACCAAAAATTGAGCGTAGTGTAAATGGGGCTTAGCTAAATAGGTAGTCCAAGAACCAAAAAAGTGGTATGGGTACCAATTTTATCCGTGCCGTACCAAAAATTGAGCGTAGTGTAAACGGGGCTTAAATTTCATAACAGCCGCCAGAGCTCCGGCAGCCATCAGCTTATTTTGAACGTCCAGTGCATTGACTTTTCTGAATCTGAGGGTAAAATGCAGTAAGTTGATCTGCAGCTTTCTTGTTGTCGTCGCTACCTAGTAGTACATACACTGGCACAGACCGTTCGAGAACCGTTCGAGATTACATCACATTGAAAAAAATGCCATGAGTTGATCACATTCAAGGGGAACTACAAAGATAGTAATTGACAGATTATTTGTTCGAGTCAGTTTTACATCGACAAAAAGTTCATCTAGGGACCATGTAATCTGTATTATATATGTCAGTTTGGTGTGATGGATTAGGAAGCTAGGGTATTATACTATTATGTCTTCTTTCGCGTCGCAGTTCTTTTCGAAGAAAAGTTATAGCCATGCCAAATCAATATCATCTTTCTAGTATCAATGATGCTGTAAATTGTTATAAATGTAGGTAAGATACAAGCTGCGAATCCCTAATGAACATTACAATTTTATCCTAAGCTTGTTTATTGTGTCAGCTTTTATTAGTAGTTAGCTAAATATATTATGAGTAATTGGTTATTAATTGGTTATCAAGTCGACTTTAATCTATTAATATGAATACAAACTGATGGTCTCTGTTAAAAACACATATTTTATAAATACAAGTCACATAAATGTCATCTTTGTATTGTGTGTAGGCAAAAGAAGGATATGAACGACTTGAAATTCCCCGAATATATCATCCATTTATCCAAGGACCCAATCAGGAGACAATACAGAAAATTGCCATGGAAACAAACACGAAGATCTATATTCCACCACCATCGGTACAAAAGGATGAAATTACAATTTCTGGTGACAAGGAAGGTGTGGCTGTGGCAAAGGACAAAATCCTTAGGATCTATAAGGAAAAGGTAGATATAATCAATATGTCCAATTATTGAGTGTGTCCACACCGGGCAAGGTGAAAATGTTTGCTTGACTAAAAAGTTTGGTAGAGCATTGGACTATAGCAAACCAAAAGTCCCAGGTTCGATTCCCTCTGCGGTCGAGCAAACTTTTCAGCTTGCCCGGTGGAGACAACAAAACAAACGTATATCTTCACCTGAGTGCCGTCCAAGCTAGCACAGTAAGCTTCAGTGGTTTGTTTTCAAAGGTAAAAAGATTAAAGACGTTTTTGTTTTGAGCAAAGGCCAGCACATGTGAAGTTAATAGTATATAGCTTGGGGCACTTGGGTGGTAGCCACTTGTCAGAAGTAATGCCCTAGGAACCTCCGAACATTTAATGCTTTACTCAAAAGTTTGAAGTGCTTTTAATCCAATAAGCTGCATTGCACCATGACGCGCAAGTCAAGGGGAGAGCGCTGTCGCTCAATGGGTTAAACGTTACTGTTGTATATAGACTCCATGATGACCTCTGTTTTTCAGGAGCGACGTGTGACCGCTGTATCCATTGAGGTAAAGAAATCCGAACACAAATATGTTACTGGACCCAAAGGACATGCATTACAAGAGATTTTTGCATCCACAGGTGGGTATAGTAAATGAAGAACACTTGAAGCAAGTCTAATACATGTAGTTAGTTTCTTTTTGGTTTGCGATAAATATAGTTCATGTTTTGGTCTGGTGGAAAGCATCAGCTTTAAGCAGATTCAACTGTTTGTTTTCAGGAGTATCTGTTGAAATGCCACCTTTGGAGTCGGACACGGAAGCCATCACTTTACGAGGAGAACCAGATAGACTCAGCACAGCCTTGATCCAGGTTTATGATAGAGCTAACAGGGTGGGCGTTTATAATAATTGTAAATAGTAAAGTGCTATTAATTGTGAAGATTTCAGAATATAACACCCTCAATTCTAACAGTTGTGAGCATAATAAAGCACATTTTTAAAAACAAATCTTGGATGATCTTCTTGATGTTTTCAAGACTGCGTCCAATCATGAACCGATGCAACCAACGCGGTTCGTCAACCTCAGCAACTGACACACACTCAAAAGGATGAAACTGAAAATCTATAGAATTGATATTAATAATATATGGGATGCTGGTCATTCTGCGCAGTTAAATAAATAAATACCGCAATAAAATAAATACCGCAATAAAACTTAGTTTTCTCTATTTTTAAATAAGATCATTTGTAGCAAAGGGGAAATAATACATTTTTCGTTAGTTTCATTGCATAATAAGTTAGTTTCATTAAATTTTATCGCGGTATTTACAGATTACATAACAAATTACAGTAAATCACAACAAACTACAGAAGCGGAAGTGGGACACTTTTTGTATTTTCGTTGTAAACGAGGTATAGGTCCTTGATTGTGTAATAAAACATCAAGGGCATGCATTCCAATCAATAGTTCTAACAACGAAAGTGCGCCCGCCTTCGGTCTTTCTACGGTTTTCTTCGGTACGTCTTTCGTTATGTCTACCATTTGTTGGCCAATACTGATTACTGATTTACTGTAACCTGTCAATCAAGTACCACTGGTCATATCTTCCACTAACTAATGAGTTCATGTTTACTGTAGCGAGCAAATACTGAGGGAATCTCTTTGGCTCCCAGTTTTGGACAATTGGGTCGTGGTATTTCAGCTGAATTGAATAATTCTTCACAAAAACAAGATCAACCTAAGGGGAACAGATATTCGGCATTAAGTGGTGCAGATATGCCGCCCAGCCAAACGTACGATGCCAGAAGATCTTCATCAGCTTGTGCAAGGTAAGCAACTTAATCCATATTGTAGAAGTTTTTGTTGTACTTGCAAAGGATAAAAACTAGGGGTGCACCGGATTTGGAATTTTCAAATCCGGCCGGAACCGGATTTACCGGATTTGGACAAAAATTCCGGCCAGAATTCCGGCCGGATTTGCCGGATTTGAGATAAACTGGTAATGGGGACAATTGGGGATAAATCAGTATTGAAAATGACTGTTTATATTTTTTACTATTTTTAGTTAGTGTCAGTTTAGATTTTTGATTGTGTTTAAACCTTTTTTAAACATCTTTTTGTTAGTAACTTAATATTTTATAATAAGTGTTTTTTAAACTTTAAAAGGTGAAAACAGAAATTTAAATCCGGCCGGATTTGAAATCCGGTGCACCCCTAATAAAAACTCGTTAAAACAAAGGACAAAACCGCCGATCTAAGGTAGAGCGGTGATCAAAGTGCGTATATGCAACGAAATTTCACACTTTTTGTTTATGATTGCATTGTCATTGTAAAGACAATCCAATAGTCTGATACTTTGCCAAGTTATTTTAGCTTGTTTATTTCTTGAGATTTTAAACAATATTTGACTAAACACTAATTATATAAACTCTTAAAGACAATTTATTCAATTTTGTCAACACGTGACATATATTTGTAGTACGCTGACATAACACTTTCTCACGGTTTTGTGATTTTAATGCATGATATTCCAAGATCTTGAAGTTTTTTCAGAAAGTTATAATTATGACAGCTTACACCTAAACCGAAACGACATTCGAGACCCGATGAAAGACATTAGCTAGAGATGATTTTTCCCTCACAGTACAGGAAACGGTCGATCTGGTAGCACAACTCTGTTGAGCAATTCAACTGCTCAGACAGAGTCCTCAACCATCCAGTGCAAGAGTCGTCAATACAAAACACACTTACAGGTAAGTCAAAGCTCACCATCGTTGCAAGAAATGACAGAGAAATTCATGGATAGTCAGAAAGAAACTCAGAAGGAGCCGGAAGTTGTGCTTTTACGGGCTGATAGAGAAACGGTGACAGAAAGTAGGGCAAGCAAAATCAAGGAAATTTCAGATAGAGTACCAGAAAATATTGAGAATATGGTTGAAAGAAAAACAGGTAATGAAAATACGGTTGATCCTGATCCAGTGGAACAGATAAAGAGTGACAATATGGATAGTGGCTTGGATAATTCCCCAAATCGTGTTGTGGATACGAAGTCGTTGGATAGTTATGTCGCACACGCTGTTAATTCTGAGAAAACTGAAAAGAAAGTTGAATGGCTAACAGATACAAAAAAGGCCTTTGGTAAGTAAACATTTCTTCTTATGCACGTGCAACTGTGGTGGAATTATAATCGGACAATTGTATATTGCAAGAATCAACACCCCTTCGCCGAGTTAAAAAGGTGATGGTATATAGGTCAGGGCTCGAATTTTATCGCGGCAAGTGCCGTAGAAGGAGAACAAAATGCCGTGGATTATTGCGGCAACGACGGCAATTTTTTGCCGTATAGTGTAATTTTTAGACTATTCACTGTGCATTACTATTTTGATACTTGAATTGAGATGTTGATCAAATCATGCGTAAATTACTAGTTTAGTCTCAGTTTTCTTGTCAACAATCCATGCAAAGTAACAATAAACTTAAATTTTTATTAATTTGAAAAAATGCCGTGGAAACTGCCAAAATTGCCGTAGACAGCTGTTACGTTTTACGGCAATTTTTAACTCCATTGCCGTCGATTGATTTCAGGGAAATTCGAGGCCTGATATAGGTGTATTGTGCCAGAATCCACTTCATATAGTAATATTCCAGGTTATTTTTTGCAGAACCTCTCAAAAAGAAATCGTCAAAACAAAGATTTAAGGAGATGAATAAAAAAGAGACTGGAGGAGACTTAATGAATGCCTATACAGATAAACCACCACCACAAGAGGTAAATGAACATGATTATTTACTAATTTCTATGAATATATCATTGACAGATTGGTGGACTGATAAAATAAATTACGTATAAGTTGATTAGTTGATTGGATACTTGGTTGTTTATGATTTGGTAAATTAATTGGCTGGTTAATGTTATTGAGTAATTGTATGTTGTTCTATTGATGCGATAATGAATTGATTGATTAATTGGTTGATGAATTAATTAGTCTAATGATTGATAATATATTTATGAATTAACTGATTGTTTCATTGGTTCATTAATTACTTTACTGACTGTTAATTAAGTTTGTTAGGACTGTTAATTGATGGTTTTCCTGATTTATTGATTGACTAGTTTGTTGATACGTTGATTAATGGCTTAGCTAATTAATTGATCATTCGGTTGGTTAATCAATCGATTGATTTCTTTGTTGGTTAGCTGGTCTATTAATCAATTGATTGTTTGGGTAGTCGACTGATTAGTTTGTTGATTTATTGATTAATTGGTTGATTGGTGAAACTATTGATTGATTGTTTGATTACCTGGTGACTTCGTTGACTAATTAATTGGTTAATCTATTGATTGATTGATTTTTTGTTTGTTTAGTTCGTTATCAGTTAGTTGATTTATCGTTGGGTGTTTGATTAATTGATTTTCAGTTATTTGAATTTGTATTAATTGATGGCTTAGTGATTGACAGTGAAAATTATTTTTTTGTTTGTTCATTTGTTTGATTATTGACATTTTACAGAAGTAATAATTTATGTATTGACTACTGAAAGTGGGTCATTGATGGTTCAATTAATTAAATGTTTGATTGATCCACTAGTTGACTAATCTTCAGTTGATGAATCAATTGAATTATGTATTAGTTGAATTATGACATGGTCGATTAATTGACTAATTGATGTGCTGATTATAATAAATTAATTCAATATTTTATTTAATATAATAAGAAGTGAAAGTGTAACTCTAATAGGAACACGATTGTAAACTTCAGCGTGTTGTCGAGAACAGAGTGAAACCGGTTGAGCTATTTCCAGAGCAAAGTGACAAACCATTAGAAGAAGATTTGAGTTGGGAAGACGAGGGAGAAAATATTGCTGATGAGAATAAAATGGAGAAAGAAAATGATACAGGTATAACCTTAAGAATTATTGTGTGGACCAAGTAGAAAGCACTATACAGGCCCCAACTGAGTCTGAATAAAATGTGGCCAAATACAAGTGGTTTAATTATGGAAAAGGTTGCCATGCCAAAGTACCAAAAAACTTAATATTCAAAAAGTTGTTCAAAGACCTACAATCTTGGACATATAACTGTTTTGGTGTCGTGGGAGAATTGGTCTCAATACCTATAAAGACATTTGCCGTGGAAGAATATAATTAACCCAAAAACAACGTGTACTGTTTCGTGTCTAAGCTTCAATCATTATTTTCTAGAACCAGCAGCTCCTGTTAAGCAGACAAGACGAAAATACGAACGAGATTTCTTGCTGCAGTTACAATACATGCCACTGTGTACTACGAAACCGGCAGGTTTGCCCGATATTGAAATCGTACTGGACGCTCCGGTTCAGCAAGGAAAGCAATCCCCAAAGGTAATAGACGTACTGTTTATTGCACTCTTGCCCCAATGGCGGTTATTTCTTACGTTTCGTATAGAGTAGACTTAAGGATAGGTTTGCGATTGGGCAAAACGTTAGGGTTATACTCTTCACGAACGCCTGACATGCTAAAACAGACAAACATGGAAACGCGGCCATTAAGACAACAGTGCAATAAACAGCAAAGACTATTGGTTCAACAACTGTTGTTGGACTCAAAATGCTCGGAGAGGCCATATACAGTACAACTAGAAATTGTCCACATGCTCCTGCAATGTATTCAACAAAAAACAGAGTGTGCCTAATAATCTACGCCAACGTTGCCTTGCATAACAAGTCGTATAGAGATATTTAAAAAAGTGAGGCAGAATAAAAAATATTGGCAAAGTGTGAAAAGCATCAATTTCAGAGGTTTTCCTGGCCACGTTGTTTCTGTAGGGAGGTGCAGGGGTCCGATTTATAATATGTACAGATAATCCGCCGTTAAAATGTTAAATGTCAATGGTTAAATGTGAACGCAAGACGAACTGTCCATAATGGCAATATCTGTACTAGATGTTGTCTGGTTCTGTGTACAAACCATGTCTCGCATTTTCAAACACATTAAATAATTTTAAAAACACATTGTAAAATTTCAACAATATTTTAATTTTAAATGCCTGTAGAAATTAAAACGTAAAGTCATGGCTATATTGGATAAACTGACTCCACAAACGTTAAAGACTTCGGCAGAACAGATCATGGCACTAAACATCGATACACCTGAACGTCTGGCGGGAGTGGTCGACAGAATATTTGAGAAGGTATTGATTGCCCTTACTGAATTTCTTATAGTCCAGCGGAAAACTAAAAAATCATGCACTTTGTGAAGAAAGCAACCAATTCACAGGAAGTGTAGACTTTAACGTGATAATGAATCTTAGATATGGAGGCATCACCAAAATTGATGCTGGCGGCTTAAAATTTAGGATTTCTTTTATTCTCTTATTAAACTCTATTACTGTTTAAAATTGTGAAATTGCAGGTTTACATATAGCAAAAATGACTTGCATGATTAGAAAGCTTACAAAAAACTACATATAAGACTTTCAAACGGCTGATTGATTTTCCAAGCGGTTTTCCAGTTATAAAACATATTAGTTCAACCGCTCATAACTCCAGAGGAGTTGGAAAATCAAAGTAACTGCTTAAATGTCTTATATGCAGTTTTTTGTAAGCTTTCTAATGACCATGTCATTTTTGCTATATGTGAACTTGCAATTTCACAATTTTTAATTTTATAAGAGATTACTAAAAGAATATAAGAAATCCTAAATTTTAAGCCATCAGCATCAATTTTGATGATGCCTCCATATCTAAGATTCATTATCATGTTAAAGTCTACACTTCCTGTGAATTTGGTGCTTTCTTCACAAAGTGCATGATTTTCTCAAATATCTGTGCATATCCGCTGGACTATTAGGAGAACAGATTAGGAGTATACTCAGAGATTATTCACTGAGTATAAGTAATATTTCAAATCCGACTATGGGGACTGGACTACATTTCAAGTCCGCTTTTTTTTATCAAGCCGAGGACTGAATCAAAACGCAAGGACTTACAATCTACTCCAGTGCGAATTAGGTGAGATGGATTAAATTTGATCCAGTTCAAGGACTGGACCAATATACTTCACCATGCGGTATCCAGTGTTAACATGTGAACAAAATAAAGCAGTGTGATTGGACGCATTATTAATGTGTTTGAGATTATAGCAAGGCTCAAGTTACCTTCTGTTGTAACACAACGTACCTATAGGTATAAGAGAACAACCTTCAGGGATCGGAGAACAGTTTGCATAGAATTAATGCATGGATTATCCACTGCAACTGATGACACCGGGCAAGCTTGAAAAATACGCCTGGCCACGGTGGGCATCGAACCTACGACCTTTGGAATACTAGCCCAATGCTCTGCCAACTGAGCTACGCGGTCAGGTCGGTTCGAGTATGTGATATTTCGGAACTGAGTCTAGTTCCTTTGACATCAATGTAATTTATTAATCATGACTTTTTTGTGTTGGTGTTATCAGTTGTGTACTCAGGTGAATATGCAGAGCATTGAGCTAGTATTCCAAAGGTCGTAGGTTCAATTCCCACCGTGGCCAGTTCCCGCTGTGGATAACGCACTCAGAGTAACATCACAAACAACAACTGATACAGTTAGTTTAGTTTGGGTTTCCTCCTGCAGTAAACAGCAGCCAAAAGGAAATTATATACACTTACTGGATATCTAGGGTGAATAGGTTAGAATTGATATAGCTATTATCGACTACAACTGATAAAGTTAGCATTTAGTTTATTCTCTAAAGTTAGTTAATTCTTCTTGTTTAAGACACGTTATCAAAGTTGCAATGCTTTTCTTTTCTTTTAGGCCATCAGTGAACCAGCGTCAAGTGTTGTTCATGCAAATATATGTCGATGTCTATTTGAAGTAATGTTATAATTAAACGAACCATTATTTACACGTTTCGTACACCTTACCATTTAAAATTCCGTGCTTTTAATTGTAAAATGACACGAAGTGGCCACGGTCAACATCACATTTCGCACTATTGCCTAAGCACTGAAATTATTCCCATTTCAAATTTAAGATTAATTTAAATTTACATTATTTTATAATTAATAATATAATTAATTTTAAATTTATGAATTAAAAAAATTGAAGAAAGATTGTATAAGATGTGGGTTGATCACCATAATTTCAATTCGCGATTCACAAACGTTTCCCAAATAGACAACCAAAATTTGTTCAAATATTCGAAATTTAGAAGGACATATATATAATTCCTAAAGTTGGAAAGTGTGATTTCGACCAACCACGCTAAATCGGATTGTATTTGGCCATTTTTGATCGTAATGATACAAAAAGGTGTCATGCAGTTGACAGCTAAATGCCTGATCTTTATTGGTATGAAGGAAGTAATCTATAAACTTAATACCCAACGCACGTTAACATGCCAAAGTTGGATTAACTTTCTTTTTCTACACCCTATATATAATGCTAAATGGAGATCTGAGCATATGGATTGAAAAACTTTGCTAAATAATGTTAATTGTTAATGAAGCAAAACAACAATGAATAATGTTGATATTTATGAATAGATAACAGTTGCTGATGTCGAAGGAGAACACGTGTCGTTTCGTAAATTGTTACTGAATCGATGTCAGAAGGAATTTGAAAAAGAAAATGTGGACAAACAAGCGTTGTTGTGGAAATATAATCAACCGAAAGGATTATCGGTAGGAATAAATTGATAAGTTTTATAAAGATTACATGCAGAGCTACGCCCGTCGGTTCATATTGGCAGTTGCATGTTATCAACAATATAGAGTATATTTACTAATTGATTGATCGTTTATACCTCCAAATAAATAAAGATATAGGTTCGCATGGGTTGTACCTTTTTAATGCATTGACTTTACATTTGTTCGATTGTTCTACCGTATAGAGAACAGATACTTTGAACGTTGCTAAAAGTTTCAATAACTATAATAAATTAAGACTATAATAAATTAATAGCATGAGAATAAAAGAACACTTCGGCCCCTTCTGGCTTTTTTGCCCTTAACTCCTTGAGTACGACTCTGTACACACATGCATGCATATATAGACAATTTTGAGATAGGATGGACAGCAGTGGAAATAAGAGTGACAAAAGGTAGGTTGAGTGCCTTTTTAGATTATCAAATCTTGTATATAACGAGTGTTTCCATGTTATATCAACCTGTCAACTATCGTAACTGTATAATAATTGCTAAATAATCGGATGCCCAGAACAATAAAACAATTTGTTTTAACAAAAATTAAAATCTGGAGCAACAGGCTATTAGACACAGCAATATATATGGACCTTTATTTATTCTCTTCATAGCCCCATGCGTTTTGCTCTAGAAAACATTACGTTGATGAAATAACCTTAACATCGCGCTGGTCATATTCAGCAATTTTTCTCCCAGTACCGCAGGCTCGCATTTTCAGCGGTCTTGCAGTGAAAAATTGAAACTTTTGCATTTTTCAAAAAACTGGTCACTTTCTGTAAATGTCCACTGACAATACGATCCCGCACGAGTGGGAGAAAGTTTGCTAAATTTGACCACCGTCTCTATGTCAGCGTGATCGAGTGGTCTTCGTTTTTCTCAGGGAGAAGAGAGAAAGGTTAAAAGAGAGGGAATGGACGAAGCTCTAGCGAAGAATAAAAGACGGGCGTTAGGGAATATCAAGTTTATCGGAGAATTGTTTAAACTGAAGGTGTATTAATTTGTATGACCACTAGCTGCTTGCCACCATATAGAGTGTTGGTGCAGATAGTGTGGACGACTGCGTCAATGGAATGTGAGAAGAGTATTTCCAGTTTGACTCGTACTGTAACTCTTGGGAGAAAATTTCACAAGTGATTTTAAAGCTTGTAGGATAAATGAAGTTATGTAGTACTGTTTGGGTTTACTGCGTTGGATAACACTGGATGAAGAAGGGTTGTATTACTGAACATATAGGAAGACAATTCAGAACTAATAGAGCTATTATCTAATACAAGTAGTTTAGTTTCCTCTTATAATAACAAAAGTGTAAGACGCAATTTAATCTCTTTATTTCAGTTGTTAACAGAAAACATAATGCATGACTGTATATATAGACTACTTCGTGCTGGCGACGAAGAAAGTTTGGAAAGCATGTGCATGTTGATGTTCATGATTGGTAAAGATCTTGATCGTGAGATAGCAAAGGTAATTCATATCATTTTGGTTGCAATTGTCTTTATCATGCATTGGTATAACCATTTTATAAACTTCATTTTTCTCTGCTGTTATGTAGATTGTTTTAATGTCCAAAATATGTGCTCAAATCGGCTTTGTTTTGCTTAGACACCGGCAAAAATTTAGATTTTGCAGGATATAAATTTAAAATTATAAATATAATACATAAAAGGAAAGCTTGCAGAAAGGTTAACAGTTACGTAATGAATTTATTCAAAAATAGGTACACAGTGAGTACATGTTGCATGCCATCTGAAACCATCTGAAATCCGCCTATAAATTTTGTACAATTGGCCTGAAACTTACAATATTGGTTCAATGAGTTTAATATCAATATATTGATTGAGAAATAGCTATTATGTCAAAATAAGAAAACTTAAGGTTCTCACGTGAACAGGCAATATCAATTTCATGAATTAAAAACAGTAAAGCTTTACCTACCTCTATCTATTTTTCTAAGACGCTAAATTACGTAAATTTTCGGCAAATTTTATTCGAATATTTGTCCTATTTTACGAATCTGTCACGTGATTTACCACCACCGGTACACCGCGTCATGAAATTTAGAGCTATATATGAGAGTTGCATGCCATATATGGGCATGCGACAAAAACCATCCCGTAAACTGTAGAAATTAGTTGAGTATTTACTGAAATTAAACTGCGCGAAAAGTGGCCTGAGGTTGTAAATCTATCTGGGGAAACGTTTATTTTTGGGAGGACTATATTCATGTTCTAGTGTAGCGAGCGGAAACATGTCTGAAAGTTATATTTTATTTTTGTATTAATTTTACTGTAGTTGTAGGATGGAGCAGTATGGGATAGGACATACAACTGTATTTCTAAGGAGAACAGTTTGAACAAAACCATTAGCTATATAGAGCTACCAGTATATGAATAAATGTAGTTAACTCATGTGGTAACAGTATTGAGCAGTAATGAAAACTATCACTCTGATACGTCCAAGGAGGACAGTTTAGACAGAACTATTAAAGCTACAGTATGGCGTAGTAATAAAATTAAACAAAATGCTACTTTGGAGGGAGTTAAACAAAATACTATATATGCATGTAGCTGACTCCATTTACTTTGCAATGATTTTAATAATATATAATCGACGCTCATTTCAGCCTCGAATGAAGCAATACTTCGACCACATCAACAAGATTATAGTTGCTGAGAAAGTCTCATCAAGAGTCATATTCATGCTTCGTGATGTGATCGAGCTTCGTCAAAACAATTGGGTCCCTCTGCGGGAAGAACATTACGGTCCACCAATCACGGAAATGAAAACAATGCAGGAGCGAAGATTAACAGCCCAGCAGCAAGTCAAGGATAATAAACAGAAGAAAGGCGGGCCAGGTATGCATGGAATAAAGTCAAAACATAGAGAATGCATGATGTGCTTTTCAAAACAATAAAATGACGATGGAACATTTTGATTACTAATCGTGAATGACACAGTTATTATGCCTATAGTACAGAGGTTCAGATTTGACTTCCACAACTGCTACCGTTAAGGGTAGTTCATTTCTACTTTTCGTATTTCCACAGTATGACGTCATCACGATATGATTTTTCATATCATCTTTATGACATCACTCAGTTGATATGATGATATTACAGTTGGTTGTTAGCCAGTCAAAAACCTTGATTTCTCTCAAATAAGAATTACTTTTATTGAGCTTTCGCCTCGGTTCTTTGAGCCTTAAGTATTAATTATGAATACTTTTATTGAGCTTTCGCCTTGGTTCTTTGAGCCTTAAATATTAATTATTAATTCTTATTAAATAAATATATATTTTCCTCAGGCGGACAAGACAATCCCAAGCCAATATCAAATAACGATGGCATTACCAATAACAAGGTGTCTACCGAACAGCAGCTACACAACCAGGTAATTGCAGGTCATTATGTGAGAAAAACGAAATCGACTGATAGTCTTATATGCAACCTACCTGTGAGAATGCGAAAATAATAAAATAAATTAATGAAACGAGTGCACATGAAATTTATTTTTGATCCAACTAATATATAAGAAGCTGTGAAAGATGTATTTGTGCTTCACCAAAAATGGCTAGTCGACCGAAATGGTTAGTTGAGTATCGACCAAATATTTGATATCACATCGTTGACATAATTACATCGACGTCTATTCTACCATTTTCAGGTGTACCCTTCTTGATATAAAGTGTATGCCTGTCCCATTGTCTATCCGACATCAGACAAAGTAACATACAACCATAACTGGTTAAACACTTGCATCAGGCCAGATTTTTTTCAAGTTCTGTATTGGTTCCTAAACTCCTAAATTGCCTAAATTAGGCGATTAGATGTCGAGGGGTTGGATCTCTCATTTTCACAAAATTGTGTTTACAGACTTCATATCCGGTCCAAACCGTCATGATGCAAGGGCAACGTCAAGTTTCTTACATAGCAGGTCATCCAATGGAAGTTCCACCACGTTCGATGCGATCAAACAGAGCAATATACTCATCATCACCCCAGGGACATTCGCCAATGCAAGGATATATTCAGCCGCCGTATATGCAAATTGAGCAGGTAAACATCAACTTTATTAGATCGTGGTGAGAATAGACAGTGAATTTATCTGTTCAGATCTTGGAGTTACGTGGGATTAGAGAATTTAAGTTTGCTTTCGTACGCCAAGCGACAAACGCCGGCCAAAGAAAAAATCACGCTATAAGGCAATCAAGTGTAATGGACTTGTTGTTTTAAAATTGCAATGCCTATTTATTATTTTGACATAAGAAAGAAAATATGAAACGAAAAAGTTGAACGAAAATTGTGCCCGGAAACGTGAAATCCCTAATATTACGTCACGCCAGGAAATCGGCGATTTTGGGTGGCAAAAATAATGGGCACTACTGACAGCATTGGAAACCAATGTCTGAATTCGCCAGAAAATGGCCTTTCTGAATTCATATGAATTAAGGCAGTTAAATGAAAGCTATTGTCACGATATTTGATAATACCACGATAAATGCTACAAAAAATGGCCAGTACACAGTGTTGCGCGAAAAGCATTCTCTCCCGTATATGCTAATACTGCATATTGCATAATTTGAAGTACAGTTGCTAACGCGAAAGGACTGCGGCAATGTTGCCAATTTGATTATCTTTCATATGATCTAACAAATGTTTGACTGGTTTTGTCAAAATGAAACTTTTTTGTTGTATTTCTTGCCATAACTGAAGAAGATGCTAAATTTGTTTTATTAGTATACAGTATACCATTGTCCTATGATATCAACCTCGTACCCAGGGCTTCTGCGCTTACGAGGTTGCTATGATATATGTGATATATTGTGTTATAGTTTGTGAATGAACCATGCCTGAAAAAGATTAAGGGGCTGATTGCATGGAGCGATTTCAGCCCGGCTACCCGGGTTGAACATTTTGACTATTACATGGGCACTTTCAACCTGATTCAGCCCGGGTAAATTTGTCGCTGGCTTCGCGGCAAATAGAAATTAACGCGCGAAATAAATTTATAAAAACACTACAACACATGCGTGTAAAGAGTTTCAGCCAGGGCTGAAGTGATTAGTGTTGAGTTTCAGCCCAACCAATTGTGCGACACGGGTACATTCAAAATCTTCAGCAAGCATACAAAATGAAAACGCATCATCACAACAAAATTTGACATTTTCTTTATCAGGAATATGTAGACAGAAGCACAATATTTCCCTGAGATATACATTCCAAGCAACTAGCTTGGGCACTGGTTAAAATTAAAAGTTGGTAACCAGTTAGTCTCCTACGCAGCCTGTTCGCGGGTCCGAGGACCTCTGACCCGCGAACAGGCTGCGTAGTAGCCTGCATGGCAGGCGGTCTTTCCCAGGCTTGCCCGATATTAGGGACCGCGTGCCATGCAGGCTAGCTGCGTAGGAGACTAGTAACCAGTTGAAGGTGTAAGAAATGTTTTGTGCTTTTGTCCACTCTTTGGATCTTGCTACCTTTCGTGCTAAGCTACTTGAACCAGGTTTAAGAATTGTGTTTTTCTTTATAGGATCAGTATGACCAACCTGCATTCATTCCTCCTAATGTCCAGCAAGAATACCAAACGCAAAGGACCACTTGGCCATTTCAAGAGGAACGTTGCTCAATATCATAACCAAGGAATGCACCCGGCCATGTACTACACCGTGCAGCCTAAGCAAACGACAGCAACGGCCAACACAGATGTCTAACCCACAATTCAAACGACTAACCTAAACAAACCAATAACAGACATATACAGGGTGTATCAAAATAAACGCAATTCATCTTTTGTGCTTAATAACTTTCGAAATACTATTTCTAGTTAAACGCTTTTAGGCTTACTTCAA